TTCCACTCCTGCAGCAGGTTCTTGGTCTTACACCTTCTCCTGGTCCTCCTCCGCCTCCCTTCGAGGGTCCACAGCCTGTCCAGTCCCAGTCACAGCTACAGCCTGCCTCCCCTTTGCCTGCTCCTTCTCCCTACGCTGGTCCGACTGGAGGTCTTACTGAGCGTCGTGAGACTGCGTCTCGTCCTGCGTCGCATGTTCGTCCTGCACGCACTAGTGGTCGCGGTTCGCGTCAGCGTCCTCCTCCTGTCCCTGGCACGCACCGGATGTCTCTGCGTCCGTCCACTGCTCCTCTGCGTGCTCCTTTGCCTTCTCCTCCTCAGTCCTCTCTTCCTGCTCTTGCCGACCCGGAGTCGGACTCTCTTCGTGCTGCCAGTCCCACTGTCACGCGTCTCCTTGCTACTGCTGTCACTGACCCTTCCTTCGAGTCTTGTGCTGCGTCTGCCCTTGTCACTGAGCTTGTCGACTTTGCTGCGCGCTGTCGTCTGGACTACGCTGCTAGTCTTGTCGCTGAGTCTGAGTCTGCCTGTCCTCCTTCCGTCGGGGTTGAGTGTGCCCTAGGCACGGACGTCCTTGAGGACAGGCAGGAGGAGTTCCAGTGTCTGGCCGCCGCTTCACTCATCTCGCGTCTTTACTGCTCGCCCCTGAGGGAGACCCGGATGCACTAGACATCCCGACTCCGCGCTCTTACGCGGAGGCGATAGAGGGTCCCTACTCCTCTCAGTGGCAGGCAGCTATGGATGCAGAGATGGCTTCCTGGAAGTCCACAGGCACCTACGTTGACGCTGTTCCCCCTCCCTGGGGCGAACATCGTCAGTGGCATGTGGATCTCCAGGGTGAAGCGGCCGCCGGGTTCTCCGCCTGTCTTCAAGGCGCGTTACGTGGCTCGTGGCTTCAGTCAGCGGCAGGGAGTTGACTACTTTCAGACCTTCTCCCCCACCTCGAAGATGACCACTCTTCGGGTACTGCTGCACGATGCTGCTCACCGTGACTACGAGCTGCACTCTCTCGACTTCAGCACTGCTTTCTTGCAGGGTAGCCTGCACGAGGAGATCTGGCTGCGTCGCCCACCTGGCTTCTCTGGGTCTTTCCCTCCTGGTACCCAGTGGAGTCTTCGGCGTCCAGTTTACGGTCTCCGCCAGGCGCCACGTGAGTGGCACGACACACTGAGGACTACGCTTGCGGCACTTGGGTTTGCTCCTTCTACTGCCGACCCGTCGCTGTTTCTTGCGCACCGACACCTCTCCTGCCGCCGTTCTACATCCTCGTGTACGTCGACGACTTGGTCTTTGCCACAGCTGACACTGCTGGACTCGCCTACGTGAAGTCCGAGCTGCAGAAGAGACACACGTGCACAGACCTGGGTGAACTGCGCAGCTACCTTGGCTTGCAGATCACCCGGGACAGAGCACAGCGCACCATTACCCTGACTCAGTCACATATGGTGCAGCAGGTCCTTCAGCGCTTCGGCTTCACGTACTCCTTGCCTCAGGCCACTCCTCTGCCTACTCGCCACTCGCTCTCAACTCTGCCTTCGGATGAGTCCGTAGAGTCGAGTGGCCCGTATCCAGAGCTTGTTGGCTGCCTCATGTACCTGATGACCTGCACACGACCTGACCTTGCATACCCTCTCAGCATTCTCGCACGCTATGTTTGCTCCTGGGAGACACCGACCAGAGCACATGGCTGCAGCGAAGAGGGTGTTGCGCTACTTGTGCAGTACGCCGGCATTGGGCTAGTGCTTGGAGGGCGCAGTCCAGTGGTCCTCACTGGGCACGCGGACGCTTCCTTGGGCTGACGACCAGGCTACGCAGCGGTCGTCACAGGGTTACATCTTCGGCCTTGGTTCCGGCTCTGTTTCGTGGCGGGCTACTCGCTCGTCTTCTGTTCTCGGCTCCAGCTGTGAGGCTGAGATCTACGCCGGGGCTATGGCTGCTCAGGAGCTTCGCTGGCTCACCTACCTGCTGACCGACCTTGGAGAGCCGCCTCGTTCTCCTCCAGTCCTGTACGTAGACAACAAGGCCATGCTGGCCTTGTGTCGAGAGCAGCGTCTGGAGCACAGGACAAAGCACATTGCTCTCCGCTACTTTCTTGCTCGTGAGCTACAGCAGCGTGGACAGTTGCGACTTGCGTACGTGGCCTCTGAGGCCAACACTGCTGATGTCTTCACCAAGGCACTTACGCCTTGTGATCATCAGCGTTGCTGCACGCAGCTAGGTCTTGTGCCTGTCTTGCCTCACTTGCTCACTTCTTGACCTTGTTTGTACCTTGACCTATATATACTCTTGCTCTGTTTGCTTGACTCTTGTATATCTCTATATATGATCTTGCATGTGAACTGGCCTTGTGGCCCTTGAATTTGTACTCGGAATGTGTGGTGACTTTGTGATCCACCCTGAGCTTTGCTTTGCTTTGCTTGACTGGTCTTGTGACCCCTTGTTCTCCCCCACTTTGCCTATGGGGTGTGTCAGAACATTATAGCTTACTTATTTGTGTAGGCTATAGTGGGGTATCCCATAGGGGATACAACCCAATTAGGGTTTCATATTTGTACTCACTTCATTCATAGTTCATTCATTCTCGTTCACTTCTTCTCATGATTTTCACCAAAAGTCGTTGCTGCCATCGGGGCCGTCGTCGTCGCTGCTGCACGTGGTGGTACTGCACGCGACTGTTGTGGCGACTGTTCCTGTTGCGCCTGCCTCGCTTCGTCCGCATCCATCTCGCCTTTTAGCTCGCTCTAGACCCGCTCATCTGGTGTAGTGCTGCTACTTGCGTCGTCCACGACAGGCGACTCCTGGCGCGCTTCACCACGCGCCTGGTGTAGTTCGGCGTTTTCTTCCGTAGACGCTCCATCTCTGAAGTCATACCCTGCAAGTTGGCCTGCATCGCACGAAACTGTTGCATGAACTCGTTGAACTCGACCTGCTCCATGTGCCTCAGGCTTCGTCGAACGGGGCATGGGGTGGCTCGCGATTTTTCTGACTTCTGTGAAGGCGTTAATGCTATCGTAGTCGGAGTGGAATAATCAGATCTATTCCACGGGCCGACCGCTTAACAGCCCACCAAGTCTATCACTCCCCTTCTTCAAACTACCCCGGAAACGCGAGGGTAACCTAGGACTTTAGGCTCTGATACCAAGTGTTATAAGTTGTGAAAGGAAAGAGTGCGCAGAACTCAATAGTGCGGAAGTGATTACAACGTCTGAACGAACAACGAGGCCTAGGCATAATATAGCAAGGTTAGCTAGGCCAAGGTCACGGGGTCGCGAGATGGTTGGGTGCAGGTTCGGGGTTGGAAAACCCGAAAGCGACGCGGTGGTGGCTCGGAAGGCGAGGTCGGCGGGCCGAGCCTGGTTTTCCGAAAGTCGGAGTTGTACGCGTACAGTGTGACCCAGTAAGGAATCCGGAAAATTCCTTACAAACATTGTGGTGTACTTATATTTCGTTATGAAATATTCCAGAAGGGTACAACACGAACTAAAATCATAAACAAAATCTAAACCCAACGCAATGGAACTGACATCGACGGGCAAGAACCTGCGTCTTCTGATCGCGTTGCAGTTCTAACCTTCCCAGGCCTGTGCAGATTACGACACAAAGACATTTTTGGCACATCTTGAAATGTACCGCATAACCGCCTGAAGACAAAAATGTCCCGAAAGTGTCTTTCAAGATATGTTTCGGGACGGATTGAGGACCACGCAATTTTGGGATGGGCCATTTGCGAATCGCGAAACACCACCGTCAAGCCAGCATGATGCATCGCGTCGTGCCTCGTGTCGTTTGCATTCTGCATACATCGTGCGTCCTGCATACTACTCCGCGTCTTAAAGCCATGCATCGTGCCTTCGACACGCCCTCACCCTTCCACTCACACTTCCACTCGCCACGCCCACCCACACGTCCTTCTACTATGCCGCAGCGCATGTTGAGACCTCACCGGAGGTACAGCTTGGCAATCCGATGAGGTCCCAACATGCGCTGCGGCTTGTCAAGATTTTCCAGTCTCGAGATGCGCTTCGGCTTAGCAAACATGCGTCTCGAGATTCTAGTACAGTCTCGAAATAATGCACAGCTATCCCACCTGCTGCTCTCTCAAAAGTCGCCGCAGGCGGTGACTACCGCTACGAGTGCGCTTGCGTCGCGGGTTTGAACAGCAAAACGAACGATTTAGACGATATTGAAGCGGTTGGGAGGCACTTCGCTCCTCTGAAGGATTTCCCGCGCGGCCTGAAACCCTGAGTGTCTTACAGCATGGATTTTAATCAGCCTGGTTCATCTTATTCAGCTGACTCCGTTTTTCACGGCAAGGTTCCGTCCCCTCTTGGAGAATTTCCAGGCGAGTCTCTGTCTCACAAAATAGATCCTCGTCTTCGTGCTCACAGCCAGGCTCCTCCCGTTGCTGGAGCAGCAGCAAGAGCTTCTGCTTTTCAGGCCCCTGAAACAGTTGCCGCAGGGAAAGCAGAGAGAACAGCAGTAGGAGCTGAAGAACGATCAGAGACTGATGAAGGCATTCAGGCTGAAGGGCAACCTTACACCGAAGAATGGTTACAGTCACGATTAAAAGTTAGAATTCCCCTCTGTGGAGGCATCTGTTACAGGGGAGGGATTCTGGCAGAGGTGAAGGGATTATTGGTGAGGCGCCTCACCAGAAGACTCAAGGTCACTCAGAGAACCCAAGGGTATCCCCTCTCAGGAGACATCTGCTTCAGGGGAGGATTCTGGTGGAGGGGGAGGGACTGTTGTTGAGGCGCCTCACAACAAGACTGGAGCACACTCACAGACCCAAGGTTATTCCCCTGTGAAGATATCTGTTGCAGGGGAGGAATACGGTGGAGGGGAAGGGCCGGGAGATATGAAGCGGAGAAGAGACGGGAGGGAGGATGTTGGTGCGGGAGGAGAAGAGGAGAGAGGAGAGTGGGGAGTGAGGAGAGTGGGGAGTGAGGAGGGGAGTCGGGAGGGATTGGGAAGGAAGAAAGGGGGACGGGCGGCGCTTGGGCATTACTCAAGATGACTACCAGCAACAGCAGATGTCTCCCCCACAGCTGACGCTTCATCGCAGCTTTGGAGAGCGCTGGGGTGGAGATGCGGCAAGAGGAGGAGGAGGTGAAGGGGGATGGAGGGGGTGGTCAGCTGCTCCCCGCTGGGGGATACGACCAGCAACACCAGATGTCTCCCCACAGCTGAGTCCTCCCAGCAGTTCTGGAGAGCGCTGGGGTGGAGATGCGGCAAGAGGCTGTGGAGGAGGAGGAGGTGGGGAGGGGGAGGGAGAGGTGGACAGCTGTCCCACCTGGCGGATACGACCAGCAACACCAGATGTCTCCCCCACAGCTGACGCGTGCTCACGGTTCTGAAGAGCGTTGGGCTGGAGACGCAGCAAAGGACGGAGTAGGAGGAGGGAGAGGCGGACTCTTGGGCTCGCCTCAAGAGCACGAGCACGACGAGGAGAAAACCAGATGTGTTCCCCACGGAGGTTGCCTCACTCCCCGCAGATGCGACGAAAACGGGGACAAAAGTTGCCGTGTGGCGAAGATTCGGTCTCGAGGTTGCATCACTCCCCGCAGATGCGTGCTGACAGTTTTGAGGAGCACCGGGGCTCAGACGGGTCAGGGGGCAGAAGAGGAAGAGGGAGAGGCGGGACTCTCGGGCTCGCCTCGAGGGGATAACGAGGAACGCCCGGCGTATTCCCCTCAGGGGGTTCAGCACTTCCCATCGATGATTTCCGGCAGTTTCCAAGAGCCTTGGGATGCAGAGGGAGCAAGGGGTGTTGAAGGTGGAAGAGGAGGGGGACTCTTGGGCTCGCCTCTTCGGGATAACAGGGAGCGCCAGACGTATCCGACACAGAGGTTTCAGCACTCCCCGCAGATGATTTCCCGCAGATTCCAAGGGCGTTGGGATGCAGAGGGAGCAAGAAGCGGAGGGGGGAGGATGGAGGGAGGTGTGGGATGAGTTTTGGGGAGCCGTTGGAAGAAGCTTGGGGAGGTTATGTGGATCTCCTGGGGAGGTTATTGTTGGAGAGCAGCAGGATTACACGTGGTTTGGAGGGGAGGGGAGCAGCAGGGGTGATGCAGCAACTGAAGCAACAGCAGCTGCTGCTGCTGCTCCTGCTGCAGCTGCTCCTGCTGCTGCTCCTGTTGCAGCTGCTCCTGCTGCTGCTCCTGCTGCTGCTGCTGCTGCTGCTGCTGCTGCTGCTGCTGCTGCTTGCTGCTGCTTGCTGCTGCTGCTGCTGCTGTGCTGCTGCTGCTGCTGCTGCTGCTGCTGCTGCTGCTGCTGCTGCTGCTGCTGCTGCTGCTGCTGCTGCTGCTGCTGTTGATATAGCTCCAGCTCCTCGGTTCGACCGGTCCTTCCCCCCATACACCATGCACCAGTCGCAGGCGTATCTTTTCTCTGACACAGCTGCGTTTGCAGTTCTGCCTCCTGCCTCCCATGCTGCTGCCAGGCAGGAAAACTCCTTCTCCTTCCCATCCTGCCAGCACTCACACGCCCTCTGCTCGTGCATTGGGTTATCGAATACTGATCGTGCATCGGGGGGGATATCACCAAGTGGTGTGTTGACGGAGCAAGCGATGCCATTGTGAGTCGTAAAGAGGGTGACTATAAGGGGATGACTGTAAGGAGGACAGGTGTGACGAGGTTTTCAGCCAGGTGAGATGAAGCAAAGGGTGATGCTATTGTGAGTGCAGGGAGGTGGAACTCACTATAAGGAGGTCCGATATTTGATACAAGCTGGAGTGATTGATTGCCAGCTGGCATGCTGTTGGATTTTGGGGTTACTGCATTGGGGGGAGTGTATGTGCTGGCACCATGGGGTTATCCGGGGCACTTAGGTATGCTCTGGTGAGTGCAAGCGAGGCGAGAGCGAGTTGTAAATGCAAGAGGGTATAACGTGAGCTGGTACAACTCATTTCCTACCAGCCAAACCTGCCCTTCCTCCTGTGTCACCCGCCCTTCCTCCTGCGTGCCCCCACGCAGGTGAATGCGGCAAACGAGTCGGTGCTTGGTGGGGGCGGCCTGGATGGAGGTGAGCGGCAAAAGGGAGAGCGTTAAGGGGATTGGGAGGGAGAGCGGGGTAGAAGGCATTAAGGGTGTCTGCTGAGCCGTGTCATCATGTCGACTTACCGACTATGCTGCATAAATGAGGATCCGAAGAGGGATTTCATTTCCTTTCCTCTCAGAGGAGTTTTTGAGAATTCTCAAAAAACTCCCTGCAACGTCGACTTACCGACCATGCTGCAAAAATAAGGGTTCGAAGAGGGGATTTCCTTTCCGGATTTCCGTTCCTCTCATAGCTCGTCTCTGCTGGCCTCTTTGAACCTCTGCCACGGTACTGCCGTTCCTCGCATCTTATCATCATGTCAACTTGCACGCCTCATTCTCCGCTCTCCCCTCTTCCTCATGTCCCCCCTTCCCCTCTCCAGCCATCCACCAGGCAGCAGGCCCAGCCCTCCTGAAGCTCTGCCACGACCTGCTTCCTTGTTCCCTCTGTTTACCTCTCATTCTTCCTCTCTCCGCTCTCTCTCCTAATTTCCCCTCCCCTCGCACCAGCCATCCACCGGGCAGCAGGCCCAGCCCTCCTGAAGCTCTGCCACGACCTACCCATGATGAGGAATGGTGATCGGTGCGAAGCAGGGGATGCTGTGACCCACAGGGTGAGTGACTGTAGTAATGACTGAGGGTGTGGCGTGGGAAGACGTTTGAGTGGGTGACTGTAGGAGTAGGAGCATGTTTTCCCAAAGCTCTGCTATGACCTGCCAGTGCGGAGAAATGGCGATCCCTGACAAGCAGGGGATGCTGTGACCACAGTGACTGAACGAGTTGTAGTGAGTCACTTGTTTAGTGGTTAAACTTACTCTCAAGCTCTCTTCCCTCCTCTTCTCTGTCTCTGCTCCCACCACTTGTTCATTCACACTGCAGGGCAGCAAGCCTACCAGTGCGCTATGTAATTCATGCGGTGGGGCCCGTGTATTTGACCGAAAGAGTGTCAGCACCCGTGCTTAAAGAGGCATACAGGTGTGTGCTGTGCGGTGCTGTGCGGTGTGGTCCTGTGCTGTGCTCTGCCTGGTGTGTGCACATATTCATGTGGTGGGTCTGCCTACAGGTGTGTGCTGTGCTGTGCTGTCCATGAAGCACACACAGCAAATTGCACCATGTGCATGCTCGGACTCAACAACCTCACTCCCTCACCCTCTCACGCAACCTCTCACTCATGAATCCATCAACCTACCCACTCATCCTCCCATCCTCCCACCCATCCTTGTGTCTACTTCGTTTCTGCTCTCACTCATGCGCAGGAGCATTCTAAGAGAAGCCAACAAGTGCGGTGTCAAGTATATCGCCATCCCCGCAATATCGTGCGGCATTTTCGGGTACAATCCATCCTCTTTACAAGCACGAGGTTCAATCCTATCCATGATTTCGTCTGCATTTTCTGGTACACTCTTTGATCTAACATCCGTCGTATAAACAGGCTCAAACTTTAATTCATAAACTTTGTTTCTGCATAATACTCTGCATTTGCCCTTTTTTGGTGTGGGTGTGTATCTTTGTGTTATTTATCCCTCCGTGTTTTTTCCTCCTCGCTTCTCTGTTCAGTTACCCGCCTGTGAAGGGCGCCCAAGCTGCTCTGAACGTTCTGTTGAGCCAACCGTGGGGGTCAGTGCAAGAGGTACGTACTCACATGAGGTACACACATGAAGTACGTACTCACATGAGGTACACACATGAGGTACGTACTCACATGAGGTACACACATGAAGTACGTACTCACATGAGGTACACACATGAAGTACGTACTCACATGAGGTACACACATGAAGTACGTACTCACACGCTGAGAATATGTCCCAAGACCACTCACGTGAGATATTCTCACGAGTTGCTGCTGCTGGTGGGAGCTCATTCTTCATGATCCCACTTATCCTCTGCACTCTTATCTGTCACATGCCCCATTGCCCGCAGGTGCACTTTGTCCTGTTTGACCACTGGATGCTCAACGTTTGGCTGAATGCCATCCATGCCGCCAACCTGCCACAGCTGCTGCTGCAACGACGACCACCACAACAGCCACCGCTGGTGCCGCCACAGCAACTGCCACCACCGCTGTCGTCTCAGCAGGTGCAACCTCAACAGCAGTCGTATGAGTCAGCACAACAGCAGGCAAGGCAGGCCGTGAATGAGGCGATTCGGAGGGGGAGAAGGTGAAACAGCAGCTCGTGTTAAAGGCAGGGGGAGAAGCAGCAAGGGCAGCACGAGAGGAAGAGCGTGAGAATGAGCAAATGCTGCAATTGCTGCAAGAACAGCAACAGGAGCAGCAGACACAGCACCCACTGCAGCAAGTGCCTCAGCAGGGACATGAGCATGCACAGGTGATTGCGGAGGGGGCGGGCATCACCAAATGCAACAGCATCTCTTCAGCTGCAGCAGCAACAAAAGCAGCAGCAACAGAAGCAGCCTGAGACTCCAGTGCAGCAGCTGCACCGGCAGGCCCACGAGCATGCACAGGTGATTGAGGGGGAGCGAGCATCAGCAAAAGCAGCACAGCTGCCACAGCAGCAGACACAGCAGCATGGGGCAATGTCTCATAACGCTACAGCAGCAGCTGCCCTGGCGGGGTCATGAGTATGCTCAGGTGGAGGAGGAGGAAGCTACGAAGGAGGCACGACAGCTGCAGCAGTGGCAACAGGAGCAGCAGCTTCTGAAGCTACAGCAGCAGCAAGAGTAGCTGGAGCTTTGGAAGCAGCAGAAGCAGCAGCAACAGCAAAAGGCAGAGCATCCGCGGGAAAGGAGACAGAAGCAGCCAGAAACGACAGCAGCAGCAGCCGCTGCCCGCGAGGCCAGAAACGACAGGCCTCGCGCTGCCAAGCCTAGCCCAGGCATGTTGCTGGATGATGGGGTTGGGCTGAATAATTTGCAAGAGAGGGGAGCAAATGAGAAGAAGGGTGGGGGGGTGAAAAGCAGGAAACGACCTATTCTTTAGCTCAGTAAAGGATACAAACAGAATGGTCTTGCTCTGAGCACAGTGCAAACGAGTGAGATGAGCGGCATTTACAGGAGTGGGAGAGTGCTCCTGAGATTAGGATCAGACTGACAGGAGGGCTGTTGAGGATGGCGTTCGAGGACGGGGATAAACCCGCCCCCCTTGACGTGTGCAGTGCCCCTCTGGCTGTATCTCCGGCTGTATCTCCGGCTGTAGCTCCGGCTGTAGCTCCGGCTGTAGCTCTGGCTGTAGCTCTGGCTGTAGCTCTGGCTGTAGCTCTGGCTGTAGCTCTGGCTGTATCTTCGGCTGTAACTCTGGCTGTAGCCTGGCTGTACCTCTGGCTGTATCTCCGGCTGTAGCCCGGCTGTAGCTACGGCGGTTGTACCTACAGTAGCAGCAGCAGCAGCAGCAGCAGCAGCAGCAGCACCACCACCACCACCACCACCTCTATTGCCGCTGGCAACAGAGCCAGAATTGGCACGAGCACGAGCACCAGCACCAGCACGGCCAGTGCACACAAAAGGCAGGAACAGATACAGCACCACTACTACTGTCATTCCACCATTGTAAATAGCTGCTGTCTTGTCTATGTATGTGTTGCAAATCTTTGAATGGAGCAGGGAGCTGAATTTTCAAGTCTACAATATATTACGGTGCGTTACGTAAGGTTGAAGTGCTTGCGTCACATAAGGTTGAAGAAGTGCTCAGGTAATAACGATGATACCGTATCCTCATTTCAGAAAGGGCTTTTTGGTAGCCCAACAAGCAGAAAGCTACCGTATGGCCCCGGATGTAAGCGCAGGCCTATTAAAGGCGCATGCGCTTGTACGTATCTGGAGCAATGCGCTTATGGCCGATCCTCAATTCTAAGCGCACCCCCTGAGAATCAGTACTTGTTATAAGCGCACCCTTTGTATTAAAAGAAAATGTTTTTTTAAACAACCTACCGTCAGCCCCCGGATAGAAGCGCCCTGGAGTTATAAAAAAACACTGTTTTTTAGGGGGTGGGGCTTATAATTGAGGATTTTTATAAGCGCCGGGGCTTATAAAATGACATATATGAAATCTAGTTTTTTTACACCAAAGTGTTCATCTCGTCCTTGCGATTTGAATCGAATCGATATTGTAGGGGGCTGGAATGTGAATCTCACGTAAATTGGCAGTGGCTGATTCTCTGCCAACACGCACAGTCAGAATGAGTCAGATTAACCCATGACAGGTCATTCTGACTGGACGCGAAGGCATTGAGTCGCGCGATGGTGAAGGGATTCGAAATTCTGAATGTTGGGATGCAAAAATTGTGTTTCGTTACAGCGTTTCCAGTAAAAATATTAAAAATAATTCAGAGGGTGGCGCTTATAATCCGTAAGCCTTTAGGGGTGCGCTTATAATCGAGGACCGGATACAAGCGCCCTCATCCTTTTATAAGCACCGGCGCTTATCCGAGGCCTGCGCTTCTATCCGGGGGCTTACGGTATCCTACATTTTCTAATCTTTCCATTAGTGGTCTCTGCTTTTCTGCGTACACACATTTCAACTTGTCTAGTCTACCCTATGGCCAGGGCCTCAGATATCAAGAAAAAAACCTTGAAATTCCTGATTTTGGCAGTCCTTTTTTTACCTACCCTGAAAAGTCTGTGTTGAGATTTTTTAGGGACTGATCTTTCAGCCTTTTTTGTTAGGCCACACTGAAATTTCAGACTTTTTTCCCCTAGGACACTGATGCCACTGCGTTGTAACGAAACCAGCACTGAAGCGATTCTTACCTGTGCCATGTGGATTTGACCGCAATTACATGGAATTTCAGATTCCCGATTTGTAAGCACCCCGTGGCGAGGCCAACCTGTGAAATTCTGCCTCTGCTTCACGTTCAGAGGTGTTTTGTTGGCACGGCGCCTCACACCATTGGGCCGTTTCACTGCAGCAGTCAGTCTTGGCGAATCCGAACGTGGCCACCATGTAGTGCTGGAGGGCTGCCAAGGATCCTGCCCCATTGCCATCACCTGCGACGCGTCAGTGACAGCCTTTTTACTAGTGGTACACTGATGCATCAGGCTTTTTACAAACGCAACACTGTCATTTCAGGCTTTTTATTTTTGGAACACTGTCAATCAGAGTTAACGTGCAGGGGGACCCTGATGGGTTGACGACCCTAAAAGTGAATCTGAGGGCCTGCCTTTGGCCTATTCCTCCTCCTCGTCCGACTCAGGCTCCGTGGAGTTGTTGCCCAGAACCCATCTGCCTGGATGTCATCGTCCACCTCCACCTCATGGGACAACTGGCCTCTCCGGTGCGCCAACACCAGTTTGTCTTCGTTCCCGTCAAGGGCGTTGCTGATGCTGCACGTGAGGAAGGCTTTCTTGATCAGGTCGACGGGCACAGCCTTCCACGCCCGTGAAATCCACTTGAGCACCACCTCCGGAGGTGGTTTATGTTCCCTGCATCACACGGAATGGGGCGGGGAAAACATAAGTGCATCAACAGGCATACAAGCACACGATTTGGAGACGGTAGGACATGTCGTCACTCACCTGCCGAGGTCAAGATGTTCATGCCGTCCTGCTCAAACCAATTTTGATACTGCTGACAAACGCTTGCTTTGAAGCTCTTCCTGATCGACACATCGAGCGGCTGCAGGTCTGCCGTGCATCCCGCCAGGATGATCGCATGCACGATGTTGAGCGCCGCGAGTCTCGCCTTGACTTCGGGTGCTAGGTGACCGCGGTAGGAGTCGAGCACCAGCATGGCGCTACGACTCTGCAGGCCGAATTTCGGCTTCAATAACGGCACCACGCCCGCATCGAGCCACTTGATGACGCCCGCGGCCTCCATCCACCCGTTCGCTTTGCAGCCGACCATAACATCTGCACGCAGGAGATCGACGGGTTAGAACGACTCCGGTTTAACAGTAAAAACATGCGCATCAACATCTTACTGTTCGGGAAGTCACCCTTGGGGAATGTCTTGCGCTTGAAAAACACCCACGGCTTCAACTTCTCGCCCGTCGCCGTGCATGCAAGCATCATGGTGACTCTCTCCTTCTGGTACCCACCGCTGCGGATGGGCACCAACCTCACGCCCGTCTGCTCCATGGTGGTCGTCGCCGGCATCTCCAACCACAGCGGTGTCTGGTCGGCGTTGATGATGTAACGGTTGTCAATGTCGTATTCGTTCTGGGCGTCTCGTACGTACTGCAAGAAGTCTTTGCACTGCACCTCCACGTCTGCGCACATGGAGGGAAGGACACATAGGGAGCCGGATTAGTATCGCGCACAAGAGACAGGCAACAAAGCAGAAAAGCAAACTCGGGATTCATCGAAATCAACGGTTAAAGAACCACTTGCGCTACTGTGCTTTCTGCGCCACCTTTGTTTTCATGCGCACACTGAGGTTCCACCGCTTGCGGAAGCGCTCCGTCCATCGCTGACTGCCTTTCCACTAGACGTCAGGGAACAGCACCTTCATCACTTCTTTGGACCACTCTTGCAGCCGGCCGACCGAAACCGCAACTCCGCGGCGTCGCCAGTCGAGGAGTTGCGCGTACACCTTTAACTCCATAGGTCAGTACCAAGACGACCTCCCGCGCCCGTGAAGTCGCATCCGTGCGCCGTGTGCAGCCTTCAGCGGATCCGCTTGGGATTTCCACTCTGTCAGGCACTTTCGGTGTATGCCGTTCTCCCGCGCCACTTCGCTCACTAATGCCACAAGCTCGAGCCGCACGAGCCATCTCAATTTCTCCTCGGCGGTGTAGGAGTGCCGCTTATGTTGAGTCTGCTTGTGCCTGGGGGAGGGGGGGCGGGCATCTCGGTTCTCGGAAGACGAGTGGGGGCGTTTTTGTTAATGGGCGGATACGTCGGTATCGGCATCTTCTCGCGTGGTGCGTCGCGCCACCAGGACTCCACACCGTTATCGTCCTCGGCAGTTGTGTCACGGTCTGGGAACACGTCTTCCTCGTCGCCCGCTGCACCGTCGCCTCCAGCTTCGTCGGCGCCGGTGTCGTGTTTCTCAGCGGCCACATCATCGTTGGCGCCTACAGCCGACTCATCCCACGCGCAGGCTTCTGGTTGTCCCCACCGTGGTGCAGGCGTCGGAGCTTGGATGCGTGCATCAGGGGCCTTGGGTGTGTCCGCTTCAGCCAACCATTCGTCAAACGTGGCTGGTAAATACAGCTGGAGCACGGACCGTTGGTGAGCACCTACCGTAACAGACTCAGGCGGATCTGAAGGAGCGGGAGGTGCGGGAGGAGCGGGTGGAGCAGGAGGCGCAGGAGGAGCAGGAGGAGCAGGGGGTGCAGGGGGATCTGGTGTCAAACTCATATGCTATAGTCTGTGTAGGCTGTAGTGGGGTAGACAATATGGGGTACAACATTTCTAGGTTTTCCTACTTGTACCCACCTCTTTCCCAGTTCATTCATTCCTCACTTCTTCACATGGTATGGAGCAGGTTCCCAAGTGGGAACGCTTCCTAGGGCCCACCACGATTTTCTTTTCCTGCCCGGAGCGCGCTTTGCTCCAGCCCGAGTCGCGCCCCGTGTGCCCTCCCTACCGTCGCGCCCTCTCACGGCCCCTCACGGCCCCTTCTCGTCGCCCTTAGCGGCCCCTCTCACGGCCTCTCGCGCCGCCCTTACGGCCCCTCGTGCCGTCCTTACAGCCCCTTACGGCCCCTCGCGTCGCCCGTCGGCCCCTCGCGCCGCCCTTGCGGCCCCTTACGGCCCCTTGTGCGGCCCCTTCCGGCCCCTCGCGGCGCCCTTACGACCCCTTACGCCGCCCTTCGCGGCCCCTCGCAGCCTCTTTACGGCCCGTCGCCACCCTCCGCGGCACCTTGCACCGCCCTTCACGGCCCCTTTACCGCCCTTCGCGGCCTCTCGCGGCCCTGTCGCCGCCCTTCGCGGCCACCTCGCCGCCCTTAGCGGCCCTCGCTGCCGCCCCTAGCGGCTCCATCGCCGCCTCTACCGGCCCCTTCACCGCTGAGCCGCCCACCTGCTGAGCCGCCGAGCCGCCCAGCGACCGAGCCGCCGAGCCGCCCAGCAACCGAGCTGCCGAGCCGCCCAGCAGCCGAAACGCCCAGCAACCGAGCCGCCGAGTCGCCCAGCAGCCGAGCCGCCCAGCAGCTGAACCGCCGAGCCGCCCTGCCGCCGAGCCGCCCAGCACCCGAGCCGCCGAGCCGCCGAGCCGCCCAGCAGCCGAGCCGCCGAGCCGCCCAGCAGCTGAGCCGCCCAGCAGCCCTGTCGTTGAGCCGCTACTGTTCCTACCGGCGCGCCCCGGCCCTACTTACTCGCACTGGTGAGATCCCTCCCTGCTAGGCCACTGCATTCATGGCTACCCCCAGTGTCCTTACCTTTGATGCTAAGGGTCGTGATGTTGACTTTGAGGTCTGGGTCGATGACCTCCAGCTGTTCCTACAGTGCGATAGGGCTGACGGATTCTCGCTGTTCGATCTCACCTCTGGTGCCTCTCCTGCCCCGCCTGCTACTGCTGACAGCACTGTTCGCTCACAGTGGGCCACACACGATGCTGCTGCCCGTCTTGCTGTGCGTCGCCACTTACCGACCACTGAGCATGCGCACTTTAGCCAGTACAAGAGTGCTCAGACCTTGTACGACGATGTAGTTGCACGCTACTCCTCCCCTGCCACTGTTGCGCTTAGCCGCCTCATGCTGCCTTACCTGTTCCCTGACCTTGCTTCCTTTCCCACAGTCGCTGACCTCATTATGCACCTTCGCACTAGTGACACTCGCTACCGCGCTGCGCTTCCTGCTGAGTTCTATGCCAAGAACCCCCCCCCCCATATACATCAACCTCTACTACATAGTCACCCGGCTCCCTGACTCCCTTCGCTTATTCAGGGACCACTTCTTCTCTGTTTGCCCCACCACACTCACCGTTGACCTCCTCGAGGAGCGCCTCCTAGCAGCAGAGAAGAGCATAGTCGTTGTAGGATCCTCTCGTGGTGACCCTCGCACCCCCGTCTTTGAGGGGTGTTCCCCTTCCCCTCTCTTGCCCTTTGTTGCTTCTGCTGCTGCGGCCGACCTCGTTGGTTTCGAGTCGGTCGGCGCGGCGTCTGCCCTTAGCGGGAGACGCCGCACCGGCAAGGGAAAAGGGGGCAAGGGCGCTGGAGGGGCTGGCGGGGGTGGTGGAGGTGGTGGTGGAGGCAGTGGAGGGGGTGGGGGTGGTGGTGGGAGTGGTGGCGGGGGTGGAGGTGTCGGTGGCAGCAGTGGAGGCGGAGGAGGCGGCGGCGGTGGCGGAGGGAGCGGAGGTGGCGGAGGCGGCGGAGGTGGCGGAGGCGGCGGCGGCAACGGTTGAGCTGGTCGTGGCTCTACGCAGAAGAGTGGGTCCGGTGGTGGTCCGCGCCAGCAGCAGCAGCGCAGTCGTGAGACCCTGTCCCCTCAGCGGCTTCGTGAGTGGTACGCTGCGCGTCAGCGTGGTGGGGGTACTTGTCCCTGTACCTACGTCCTCCGTACCAGCAACCGCGCTCGTGAGCAGTGCGGGGGCCCGCACTCCACCCAGCGCTGCTTCGGCCGCCTGACGGACGCGTGGCGTCACCAGTTCCCTGACGCCACTGAGATCCCTCGCTGGGGAGAGCAATCTAGGGCGGGGGTTGCTATCTTTGATCTTGATTATGATGCTATTCTTGCTGCCATGTATGCTGTGTCTGATAGTGCTGAGGGTGACTGTTACTTGTGTGTTCCGCTTGACCCGGGCATTGAGGCTGCTGCTCTAGGTGCTGGTGAGGTTGCTGCTCTAGGTGCTAGTGCGTCTGCTGCCCCAGGTGCTGGTGAGTCTGCTCTCTCAGGTACTACGTCGGCTCAGACCTTACACACCTTCACCCTTGACTCGGGTGCTTCCCGCTCCTTCTTTCGAGACCGCACCACGCTTACGCCGCTTAGTCGGCCGGTTGCGGTCTCCCTGGCGGACCCCTCTGGGGTTCCTGTCCTTGCTAGCTTCTCCACTGTCTTACCGTGCCCGGAAGCCCCCTCTGGCACCCTGTCAGGTCTCTACCTCCCCTCGTTCTCTACGAACTTGGTGAGTGGAGCTGATCTACAAGACAGGGGGGTTGACCAGTTCACGCCTGCGAGTCAGCGGGTGACCCACTGCACGTGTGCTCGGACAGGCCGACACTTGGCCACGTTCACCCATCGGCCGGGGTCGAGCCTGTACACACTTACTACTGAGTCTCCTCCGGCTCCTGAGTCTGGTCAGATAGCTGCGTCGAGTCAGGTGTTTGCTGCAGCGTCCAGGTCTGGTCCTGAGTCTGCTCCCTGCTCGTGTCGTCTCCTGTCCCACCAGACTCTCCTTTGGCACCACCGCCTTGGTCACCCCTCCCTGCCTCGTCTCCGAGGCATGGCCTCCCGTGTCCTTGTCTCTGGTCTCCCCCGGTCTCTCCCTCCCCTACCTCCGAGGCCTGCCCCTACCTGTGTCCCCTGCGTCGAGGGGCGACACCGCGCCGCCCCTCACACCTCCAAGTTTCCTCCGACAGAGGCTCCGCTGCAGACTCTTCACATGGACGAATGAGGCCCCGCCCGCGTCCATGGCCAGGGGCACGAGCGTTACTTCCTGTTGGTGGTTGACGACTACTCGCGTTACACCACAGTCTTCCCCTTGCGCAGCAAGGGTGACGTCGCTAAGGTGTTGATCGACTGGATCCGCGCAGCTCGTCTCCAGCTCAGAGAGAGTTTCGGGTCGGACTTTCCTGTTTTGCGTCTGCACTCTGACAGAGGCGGGGAGTTTTCCTCTGCCCGTCTAGGAGCCTTCTGTCGTGCACAGGGCATCCGCCAGACCTTCACGCTTCCGGCCTCTCCACAGCAAAATGGGATTGCTGAGCGCCGCATTGGCATGGTCATGGACGTCGCTCGTACGTCCATGATCCATGCGGCTGCTTCCCATTTTCTGTGGCCGTTTGCGGTTCAGTACGCAGCGCATCAGCTCAACCTTCAGCCCCAGGTCTCCTTGCCAGAGACCTCCCCCACCTTGCGGTGGACCGGGAAGGTTGGCGATGCGTCTGCGTTTTGGGTCTGGGGATCTCGGGTGTTTGTCCGCGACTTGTCTGCGAACAAGCTGTCCCCCCGTGCTGTTCCCTGCGTCTTCCTTGGCTTCCCCCCTGACGCGCCTGGGTGGCAGTTTTACCACCCCACCTTGCGTCCTGTTCTGTCCTCCCAGGACGTCACCTTTGACGAGTCGGTGCCTTACTACCGTCTCTTCCCCTACCGCACTGCGCCCCTCCCCCCGCCGCCGCTCTTCCTTGCGTCAGGTCCTCCCCCGGTAGACCCCCTCCCCCCTCAGGGTCCTACCCCGTCAGGTGTGTCCTAGGTAGACGCAGCCGAGCCTGTCGAGGTAGCTGTTGACTCTGGTGTTGCTAGTGGTGTTGAGCCTGTGGGTGCCGGGTCTGGAGGTGCTGAGCTTGAGGGTGCGGAGCCTGGGGGTGCTGAGTCAAGGGGTGCGGAGCCTGGGGGTGCAGAGCCTGGGGGTGCTGAGCCTGGGGGTGCTGAGTCTGGGGGTGCTGGGCCTGGGGGTGCTGAGCCTGGGGGTGCGGAGCTTGGGGGTGCTGGGTCTACTCGTGTGGCCTCTCGCGGTGCATTGTCGAGGCGGGAGCCACTCTCTCCACAGGAGCTGCGCGAGTGGTTTGCCCGGCGCTGGAGCCGTGCTGCTGGAGCTGGAGGTACTACTGTTGCTGCTGGTCCCGGAGGTGCTCGTGCTGGCGGTACTGGAGCTGCCGGTCCTGTTGGAGTTGGTGCTGCTGGAGCTGCCGGAGCTGGAGCTGCTGGGGTTGTTGGCGCTAGTGCATCTGCTGGCGCTGGTGCGTCTGAGGGTGCTAGAGTTGGCGCTGTTGGAGCTGGAGGTGCTACTGACGCTTGTGCTGCCGCTCGGAGTACTGGTGCTGTCCCTGCTGATTCTGGAAGCGCTGCGCGGCTGCGGCCGTACTTCGTTCCGCTCCTTGAGCAGGTTCTTGGTCTCCCGCCCTCTACTGGTCCTGCTCCTCCCTTAGAGTGTCCACCGCCTGTCTAGTCGCAGTCACAGTTACAGCCCGCCTCCCCCCTACCTGCTCCTTCTCCCTACACTAGTCCTACTAGAGGTCTTGCTGAGCGTTGTGAGCCTGCGTCTCGTCTTGCGTTGCCTGTTCGTGCTGCTCGCACTAGTGGTCGTGCTCCGCGTCCGCGTCCTCCTGCGGTTCCAGGCACACACCAGATGGCGCTGCGTCCTTCCACTGCTCCTCTACGTGTCCCGTTGTCGTCTCCTCCTGAGTCCTCTCATCCTGTTCTTCATGACCCAGAGTCTGACTCTCTTCGTGCTGCCAGTCCTATTGTCACGCGTCTCCTGGCCACTGTTGTCACTGACCCTTCGTTTGAGTACACTACTGCGTCGGCCCTCGTTACTGAGCTTGTCGACTTTGCTGCTCGCTGTTGTCTAGACTACGCTGCTAGTCTTGTTGCCGAGTCTGAGTCTGTCTGTCCTCCGTCTGTTGGGGTTGAGTGTGCTCTTAGCACGGACGTCCTTGAGGACAGGCGGGAGGAGTTCCAGTGTTTTGCTGCTGCTTTGCCTCATCTCGTGTCCACGCTGATTGCCCCTGAGGGAGACCCGGATGCACCAGACATCCCGACTCCTCGATCGTACGCTGAGGCGATCGAGGGTCCCTACTCCTCTCAGTGGCAGTCAGCCATGGATGCAGAGATGGCTTCCTGGAAGTCCACAGGCACCTACGTCGACGAGGTTCCCCCACCTGGGGCGAACATCGTCAGTGGCATGTGGATTTTCAGGGTGAAGCGGTCCCTGGGTTCTCCGCCGGTCTTCAAGGCACGTTACGTGGCTCGAGACTTCAGTCAGCGGCAGGGAGTTGACTACTTTCAGACCTTCTCTCCCACCCCAAAGATGACCACTCTTTGGGTGCTGCTGCACATAGCCGCTCAGCGCGACTACGAGCTTCACTCTCTTGACTTCAGCACAGCGTTCCTGCAGGGCAGCCTGCACGAGGAGATCTAACTGCGCCGCCCACCTGGCTTCACTGAGTCGTTTCCTCCTGGTACCTTGTGGAGTCTCCGGCGGCCAGTCTACGGTCTCCGCCAGGCACCCCATGAGTGGCACGACACACTGAGGACTACACTTGCGGCTCTTGGGTTTGCTCCTTCTAAAGCCGACCCGTCGCTGTTTCTGCGCACCGACACCTCTTTGCCGCCGCTCTACATCCTCGTGGATGTCGACGACTTGGTCTTTGCCACAGCTGACACTGCTGGACTCGCCCACGTTAAGTCCGAGCTGCAGAAGAGACACACGTGCACAGACCTGGGTGAACTGCTCAGCTACCTTGGCTTGCAGATCACCCGGGACAGAGCACAGCGCACCATTACCCTGACTCAGTGACACATGGTGCAGCAGGTCCTTCAGCGCTTCGACTTCACGTACTCCTCGCCTCAGGCCACTCCTCTGTCTACTCGCCACTCGCTCTCAGCTCTGCCTTCGGATGAGTCCGTAGAGCCGAGTGGCCCGTACCCAGAGCTTGTTGGCTGCCTCATGTACCTGATGACCTGCACACGACCTGACCTTGCATACCCTCTTAGCATCTTGGCACGCTATGTTGCTCCTAGGAGACACCGACCAGAGCACATGGCTGCAGCAAAGGGGTGTTGCGCTACTTGTGCAGCACGTTGGACATGGGGCTAGTGCTTGGAGGGCGACGTTGAGTGGTCCTCATAGGTCACGCAGACGCTTCTTGGGCTGACGACCAGGCTACGCAGCGGTCGTCACAGGGTTACACCTTCAGCCTTGGTTCCGGCTCTGTTTCGTGGCGGTCTACCCGCTCGTCTTCTGTTCTCGGCTCCAACTGTGAGGCTGAGATCTACGCGGGGGCCATGGCTGCACAGGAGCTACGCTGGCTCACCTACCTGCTGACTGACCTAGGAGAGCCGCCTCGTTCTCCTCCAGTTCTGTACGTAGACAACAAGGCCATGCTGGCCTTGTGTCGGGAGCACAGACTGGAAAACAGAACGAAGCACATTGCTCTTCGCTACTTCCTTGCTCGTGAGCTGCAGCAGCGTGGTCAGCTGCGCCTTGCTTACGTGGCCTTTGAGGCCAACACTGCTGATATCTTTACCAAAGCACTTCCGCCTTGTGATCATCAGCGCTTCTGTACGATTCTAGGTCTTGTGCCTACTTGGCCTCACTTGCTCACTTCTTGACCTTGCTTGTACTGTGATCTTTCTATACCTGCACTTGCTTGTTTACCTTTATATATGATCTTGCATGTGAATTGGCCTTGTGGCCTTGCTCTTGTGCTCGGACTGTGTGGTGACGTTGTGATCCACCCTGAGCTTGCTTTGCTTTGCTTGACTGGTCTTGTGACCTCTTGTTCTCCCCCACTTTGCCTATGGGGGTGTGTCAAACTCATATGCTATAGTCTGTGTAGGCTGTAGTGGGGTAGAGAATATGGGGTACAACATTTCTAGGTTTTCGTTCCCAGTTCATTCATGACAAAATTAGAAGAAAGAAGAGCAGTTGACTAGCAAGAATGGGGATAAAAATAGCAAACCCTAACAGGGTTGTACTCGCTATAGAGCACCCCACTACAGGCTAGATAAGAACATTCTGACACACCCCCATAGCCAAAGTGGGGTGTAATCAGCAGAGCAAGCAAAGCAGTACAAGCTCAGGGTGGATCACAATGTCACCACACATTCTGAGCACAAGTTCAAGAAGCAATAGTTTAAAGTTAAGA